CACCTTGCTGTCCCGCCGGCCGGTCTGCTTGGACTGGAAGGACGAGTCGCGGATGGTGGAGCGGAGCCCGGAGACACGGCCCAGGAAGGGGAACTTGTGCACCTGGGAGGCGGCCCGGGGCATGCAGTGTGTGCCAACCACTCGGACAGACACCAGCCATGCCTCCCCCAGTCCTGGTGGGAGAGCGACCCCTCTGGGCCGGTGGGGGACGAACTGGAGGGTGCAGAATGGAGACCAGGGAGGAGGCAGGGGTGAGAGTCCAGCGGGAGAGGGTGAGGCAGGGACCAAGAGGGTTCGGCCAAGGGCCACCGGCTGCTACCGAAGCCGGGACAGAGGCTTGACACGTTCTCCCCAGTGTCTCAGAAGAAGTCAACGTGGTCAAGACCCTGATTATGGACTCCTAGCCTCCACAGCAGAGGGACATAAATCTCCCTTGTTTTAAACCAGCTACTTTACAATGACTGGTCGTGGCATGCTAAGACACTCATAAGAAGGCCTGTTGGGGCACCTTAAGGGCTCAGCTGCTAACTGAAGGTCAGCAGTTCAAACCCAGCCAGAGGCAACTTGGGAGAAAGACCTGTGATCTGCTGCCATAAAGACATAGCCCAGGAAACTCTACGGGGCCGCTGTACTTAAAGACACAGCCCAGGAAACTCTACGGGGCCGCTGTACTTAAAGACACAGCCCAGGAAACTCTACGGGGCCGCTGTACTTAAATGCCCTTCACTGACATATTTTACACTTGAGCTAAAGGGGGGGGTCACTGCACCCCGACGGCTTCAGTCCACATCGGAACACACGGGCTGCTCCTTACACAGCTGTCCCCCATCACTTCTGCCAGAAGCAGCGCTAAGTCCTGGACTCTGGGTTGTGGGGGAGAGGGTTTGGGTCATCGCCGGAGCCACTGGGAGGAATGGAGTGCGGGGGCTGGGGGCGGACAGAGCCCCAAGCCCCGTCCCCACACCCTGCCCGTACCTTGAGGGTCTGGGCCCGGGAGATGAGGTACGGAAGATCAAAGTTCTGGATGTTGTAGCCTGTGATCACATCAGGGTCCATGGTGCAGATGAAGGTGGACCAGGCCTTGTCCGGGGCAAAGCACGTAGGGTCACCCAGGGCATGCCACTGCCGCAGGGTCCCCCACACCCGCAAAGTTCCAGAAGCCACCTAGAGCAGCCCTAGTGGCCTTCTGCACACAGGGGAAAGCTGGGGCTGGCATTTCTGAGAATGCTAAGGCAGACTCAAGGGGAAATGTCTGCCCCTCAGCACACAAGGACCCAGACCCAGGCACGTGGGCGTTAACATCCAGGGACCAGGCCCAGGCCTGACAGCTGGCCCGCGGGTGAGCCTGGGGGATGGGCAGGGGGCAGTGGTCACCTGCAGCAGGTCCTCCTCACACTCGTAGCTCTGCACCTTGGCGCCCAGGATGGGGGCGCAGGGCTTCAGCGTGAGCGCCAGGCGCAGGAAGGGCTCCGGCTCGCCCCAGCGCAGGCCCAGGGAGCAGATCTGGATGACGGGGTCCCGCTCCGGCTCCGGGAAGATGCCTGCGGGGACAGGGGTGTGCCACAGAGGTGACTCCCTCCACCACCACACGCAGCTCGGCTACACCCTGAAACCCGGCCACCGGAGCCCCTCCCTGCCTTCCCAACACTCTGTCCACGCAGAAGCCCCTGGGTCCCAAACGCGCACACACCTACACAACGGGGGACTCCCCAAGCCC